CGGATTTATGATGTTTTTCGAAACAACCATAAGTTTCCCATTAAAATATTTTTATCGTTGATAAAAGGAAGAAATAATAGGCTTTGTTTCCCTGAGACAGTCAGAGGACTTGAGCGTGTTTCATGAGTAAAGGCCAGCGTTCTTTTGTGCTGCAGCCTGGCAAGGGCGGCCGACAGTCGGGCTGTTTACTCTAGCGTGGGCGCTGGGGCTCGGCCAGGACACACGCTGGGACGGTGAGGAACAGAGTCCAGGAAAGCGCGGCCAAGGGCGGGAGCGCGAGTCCCCGGAACCCTTGAAGACGAGCCTTCGGGGGCACCTGCTGATTCAAGTGGGCATCTTAGCGATTTAGATCCTGTTAAGCATTTGAACCCTTTTTCGGCAAAAGTCACCCTAACTGGGCCAGTTCCCGCCCTAGCGTCTAGGGAGCCACACTGACTCAAGAGCGGATGAACCTTCAGTTGAGAAAAGTGGTCCAGATCGTGGAGGCCAAGGCCAGACGTCCAGGGCTCAAATGCCGGCTCTGCCGCCTCTGGCTGTGGAGCCTTGGGCGAGGCTGCTTGACCTCCCTGTATTTCGTTTCCTCATCTCTGGAATCGGACGCCCCTACCGCCAGGGTCTCGGGAAGGCTCCGGGAGCTAAGAAAGAGAAAGCCCCCGGCCCCTGGTGAAAGTCCGGACGGTGACGTGGGCTCCAGTCATTGTTGCTGTAGCCAGTTGCACCTGAAGCCTCACCACGCTGCCCGCCGAGTTCTCCAGGAAAGCTCCTGAAGCCCCGTCCGCTTCAGGAGGCCTTGGAGTGTGTAGCCTTGCAGAGGGGGGAAGGGTGGGTGGCCCTGGAGTGATGTCCTTCCAGCTGCTGTGGGCCTTTGGCCTCATGAGAGGCGAGAAGCCGCCCCCCCCACCCTCTGCCCAGGTCCTGTTCCCAGGCTGGAAGGAGGCCACTCACACCCCGCTGTACAAGGCAGGCAGCCACTTGTAGCATCCTGACAGCCCCCAGGCCCCTGGCTCAGGGAATTATAATGATGAAGATCGCAGTAACAAGTAGCAGTGAACCTGGATGACAGTGGCCCCGGGTTCTGCCTCTGGCTTCCCCGTGCCGCAGGGAAGGCCGCCACCAGCCCCTCCCGCCTCTCCTTTTGTGAGTTTCTCTGCGGTGGGAACCATGTCACTGGGGCAGCCCCTTGCCGGGGGGCTGCAAGGGGACAGACATCTCCCAGGCTTGGCTGCCAGCTTCCAAGTGCCAGAGACACCTGCTCCCGTGTACGTCGGGGACAGACCCAAGACAGCCTCCCGTCCGTTCTGTGGTCCCTGAGCTGCGTCCTCAGCCCAAAGCTGGCCCCCTAGGCCAACAGGAGCCGGGGAACTGGAGCGGGTAGTAGGAGCCGTTAGAACTCAGTCTAGACCAGCCCTGAACAGTAGAAGTAAGATGCAAGCCCCAACTACATTTAAGCAGCCACGTTTTCTTAAAAACTTAAAAAAGAAACAGGTGAAATTAATTTTAATATCTGATTCAATCCGGTATATCCAAAATGAAAAATTAGCCATGAGATACTCTGCATTTTGGGTGCTAAGTCCTCCGAATCGGATGTGTATTTTACACCCAAAGCATTTCATGCCCGTTTGCGCTGGCCGCGTGTCAGAGGCTCATAACCGCGCGTGGCTCAGTGGCTCCCGCGTGGGACAGTGCAGGCCTACACAGCTCACAGGGGACGGCGTCACCAGCACCCTAAATCCTGTGCTTCTAAGTGTTCAGACCTTCGGTGGGGCGCTCTCTTCAACATTGCTTCCTCTCCGCAGTGAGGCTTGGGGTAATCTGGAGGTATTTGTTACTAGCAGCTGACTGTCGAGGGGAAGGATGCTTCGTGCTGAACGTGCGTTTGCAGCGGTGGGGTTGCCCCCATCTCTTGTAGCTTAGATCTCTGAACCGTCTCATTTCATCCGGGGCGTGAACCAGGGGTGACAGACTGTGAACGTCTCCAGGAGAAAATGCTCCAGCTAAATCCTAACCCCCGTCCTATTATTAACAATTAAAGGCGAACGAAACCTTGTAAGCTCAGTGCAGGGTGAGCTGGCCGGCTCCGGGGGCTGGCCGATGCCATCGCCCAGAAAACAAGCCATTGGCGCTCAGCCTCCTGCTGTCCTAAGCCTTGCAGGAAGCATCAGGTGTTATCAGCACAAGTCAGAAGAGCTTAATGGACCCTGAGAAGCAAGTTGGACCAAAGCTGACAAAGAGTCAAAACAAACGAACAAAGACTTCCCCTGGGCCTGGCTTCCCGGGTTTGTGAATCATCCTGACCAGAATCGGGGTTTCCACACCCTTGACTTCGGACACTTCTCCGAAGTGGGTGGCATCGTCCAGCACCCGAGCAGAGGGGTGTGGCTGGTGAGACTGCTCAAGTGTGTGTAGAAAGAGAGTCTGGAATAAAGCGTGGTCCCCCTCATCCAGCCCCCACTGTTCTTCAGCCTCGTAATTCGCACAGCAGTGCGAGGCCTCATCTCAGCCTGTGTTCAAAACAAGCGGAAACTAAAATAGGTGAACAACAGAGTTTTACTGTAGAGCACAGAGACCTATATTCAATATCCTGTAATAAGCTATAACGGAAAAGAATTTTTTAAAAAGAATATAGATACATACATGTATATATGTATAACCGAATCACTTTGCTGTACACCTGAAACTAACACAATACTGTAAGTCAACTATACTCCAATATAAAAAATTTAAAGAAAAAACGAAAACACTGATTAATGAGAACAGATTGCAGGGCATGGTTTTAATATAGTTACAAGAACCAATTTTACTCAAGTGCTTTTGAAATACAGTTACGACAACTGAAGTGATGATTTCAAATCTCATTAAACTAATTCTCAAAGCCCTTTGATTCATAATTTATTAATCCCAGTGCGAGTGATTCCATGTATTTGAAAGCCATAAACTGCAGTTTTATAATTTTTTTTTTTTTTTTTTTTTTTTGGCCGTGTTGGGCCTTCGTCTCTGTGCGAGGGCTTTTTCTCTAGTTGCAGCGAGTGGGGGCCACTCTTCATCGCGGTGCACGGGCCTCTTACTGTTGCGGAGCACAGGCTCCAGACGCGCAGGCTCAGTAGTTGTGGCTCACGGACCCAGTTGTTCCGCGGCATGTGGGATCTTCCCGGACCGGGGCTCAAACCCTCATCCCCTGCATCGGCAGGCGGATTCTCAACCACTGGGCCACCAGGAAAGCCCCATAAACTGTAGTTTTAAAACATGCATGTCAATTTTCAGAGCACCGCTTAGTACCTGATTGGCTTCGGGTGAGTTCCATAAGCTTTTCCTGCATCTCAGTTCTGTCCCCTAAAAAATGAGGAGAATAATTTCTGGCTCATTGGGCTGCACACAGTGTGTGCAGAGTTGTCTGATACATAGTAGGTGCTTGGTGGGTGTGTCTTTCGTCTCCCAAAGAGGATTTCTGTTGTTTTTCTACTTGTTCAAGTCAGGCTTTGATGCAGTCATTTCCCATCTGGGGACTGGTGTGGTCGCCACCGTTTCACGTCATTAGGGAATAAATTAGGGGCTTATTTTGGTAGGGTTTTTTTGTGCTTTTTATGTTTTCAGAAAAGAACAAATGTAGTCTTCAAAAGAAATTAAGGCCTCTTTGTAGGTTCCTTTGGTTATCATTTTCTTGTCAAGGAAACGAGCTATAAAGCTGCCAGATTGAAACACGCGCCCCCTTGTTCCTGCCCACACCGGGGTACGTCAGAGGAGTGTGCATTGCTCGTGCCACGGGGAGAAATACTCGGAACACGTTAAAGGAATGAGGGTGGGCAGACGCACAGGCGGTTAGCTGATGTCCCAGGACGTTTAATGAGACATAGGGGCCATTTGGAAGATACCCTAGAACACCCCAAAGTCCAGTTTTTCTGCAGAATGGCAGGTGGTTGTGCTGAGTACCTGTTAGTTACATCCTCGCCTCGAATCCCGGGGCAGATCCACGGGTCTGGAAAGTGTGTGCCTTTGGCACACAGCCTACCTGGGACGCAGCTGCCGTGTTGTGATAAGTCACGCCTCTCTTAGAAAGCTGAGTCAGTATTACCCCCTTCCACGGGGGGCGGTGGGGGAAAGGTGTAGAGCCACCTCAGCACGTCTGAGCGTCTCAAAGGGGCAAGGTCCCTGGGCCCATCCCCAGCTGCAGACAGCTCGTTTCATCGATTCCTCCCCCCGCCCTGATTTTACGGACGTATCTAAACCTAGTCTAAGATATCATGTCATTTCACCCCTAAACACTTCATCTCTCACGCAGGTCACCCCTGCATACACTCGCCTCTAACTGAAAAGGACACTTTGTAACTAATCATCGGACCGTTTATCCCACATGACGATATTAGCAACAATTCCCACAACGTCATCTAATTCACGACCTATTTTAATTTTCCCAATTTCTTTCTGCGTTGGGGTGGTTTGAATCAAGATTCAGACAAGGTCCAAATCTTACACTTGATTACTGCATTTTTTTTGTCTCTTTCAAAAGCATTTCAAAACGTCAGTCCTGCAGCAGATACCCTTGGGCCAGTTGTGCAGCCCAAGGGCCTGTTGTGCAGCCCAAGGAAACTAGCATGTTGCCTTTAGTCTTTCGTCCTCCTCACATCATCCTTCAGCAAAATTCTGTAACATAGTTTGATCGTCTTATTTATCAGACCTTTGCTCTGAATGCCCTCGGGCTTTTTCCACAAATGAAATCCACCTCAGTGCCCAAATCTTTTTCACCCAAGGAGATAAGTAAATCTACCTTCCAGCAGTGCCGTGGCATCTCCCGGTGGATTCAGAAGAGGAATTCCAAAATCACGGGGCGAGAGTTCTCTGTGTGTCTGATTCGAAGGGTCCCCTTCAAAACCCAGCCACAAATGTTACCATCACCTCACGTGCATGAACGGAGTGTGTAAATGACTACACGCTTGACCTCCCTGTTCCAACACAGGCTTTCTGATTGGCCACTAAATGTAGTTGATGTGTTTGTTTTCACACAGATAATCGCTTATCAGCCGTATGGGAAATCCGTGGACTGGTGGGCCTACGGCGTCCTGTTATATGAAATGCTGGCCGGGCAGGTAATGTTTCCCTGTGTTTTCGTGCTTGTGTGTCGCCACGTAACGTGAAGGCTTCAGCTCTGTGGGGACCACGATAGCAGGACCTGGCTGTGTGGAGTGGCTGGTGCTGGTCTGACTCCCCTGATCCTGGTGAAAGAGGGAGAAATTGTACAGAAATTATCTTCTAGCCCTAAAAACCCAAATTGAAAGCTACACCCTGGAGTGTAGACAGTACAGCTTTTGCATCACCCACAAAAGGTCCCTGCACGTTGAGGACAGTGGTGGCCTTTTGTTTTCGGTGTCTCAGCCCTGGGCTGGGATTGGGCTTCACTGCATGTTTCTCTGCAGAAATCACCCGGCCGCTCCGGGTTGGAGCCGGAATTATTGTAAAGGAAGAAGATAGTTAAACTGGAAGGAGTGTTTTAACAGCCTCTCCGTCTGCCCTTATCTCTCCTGGGGCAATTCGTTGTAATCTTCACAAAAGCCCAGCGAGGCTGAACTTCCAGTTAAGAAAAGGCAGATTAAGGTTCCCTTGGCTGTGTGACCTGTGTCAGGTAACCAAGGGCGTCGCTGCCTCACGTGGCACTTTCTAAGGTGGTGGCCTTAGTATCTGCATTACTAGGGTAAGTCACACTCGCTGCTGTTGACAAAGAGCTCCCACCCCCAAATCTCAGTGGATTAAGAATGACAGCGGTGCATTTCACACATTTCAGGTCTCTGCCATTGTACCTACTAATGATTCTGGCATGGGCAGCTTTTATTAACTCTCAGCCCTCAAGTGTGCCAGGGAGTGTGCCCCTCCCTAGCCAAGAGACTTTGTAAGAGAGAATGGAAAGAAACACCCACGTCGAGTAGCAGAGCTGCCCCCAAAGAAATCTCTGAATCTTTGTTCCTGGGGAGAAGTCACCCTTTCTGACATGTTGCATCCGTTGACTCATTTATTATTCACTCAGTGCGTACTTACTGAATGTGCGTGGGAATGGCTGTGAGCAACACAGACAGAGACCCTTCCCTTCAGTAAGGTTACAGTCCAGAGAAAGACAGTAGACAGGCAGATACGGAAATGATGTGCGGGCCCCTCCTCGGCGTCCTTGGGAATGGTTCCAGGACTCCCACGGGTAAACCAGAGTCCTTGGAGGCTCAAGTCCCTTGTATAAATGGTGTGGTAATTGCGTATAACCCAGGCACATCCTCCCGTGCACTTTACATCGTCTTGCTATTACTCAGTATACCTAACACGATATAAATGCTATGTACCTAGTTGTAATTGCAATATAAATGTTATTTAAGTATCTGTTGTTGGCATGTGGCAAATTCAAGTTTTGCTTTTTATTTATTTATTTTACGTTTATTTTGGGCCACACCGCACGGCTTGTGGGATCTTAGTTCCCCGACCAGGGATCGATCCTGGGCCCTTGGCGGTGAAAGCGTGGAGTCCTAACCACTGGACCACCAGGGAATTCCCAAATTTTGCTTTTTAAACCGTTTTGGACTTTTATTTCATTTTTGATCTGCAGTTGGCGGACTGTAACAGTGATAAGCTAAGAAGAAAAGTAACAAAGCAGAAGAACATAGAGTGTTGGGGGAGGGTTGAAGTTTCAGGAGCGCCAGGGAGGGCCTCACATGAAGGTAAAGTTAAGACCAGAAGGAAGTGAGACGGTGTCCACGTGCACATCCCGGGGGAAGAGCATTCCAGACAGAGGGAACAGCCAGTGCAAAGGCCCTGGGGTGGGAGTGTGCAGCTTTACACTTAAGGAACGGAGAGGAAGCCGCCCATGTGGCTGGAGTGGAGTGAGCTAGAGACGGAGTAGGAGGCTGAGATCAGAGAGGAAGAGAGGGCACCAGGCCCCGGGCCGTGGAGACCATCGCAAGACCATTGGCTTTCCCTCTGGGCTGGGAGACCCCCCCCCCCCCCCCCGGCCCCCCCTTAGAGAGGGCACCAGGCCCCGGGCCGTGGAGACCATCGCAAGACCATTGGCTTTCCCTCTGGGCTGGGAGACCCCCCCCCCACCCCGCCCCGTGGTCTTTCTCTCTTTCATTGTGTCTTACATCATATAGATACTAAAGTTGTCTTTTAAGTATTAAAAGATGAGGTTCCACCTATATTTGGTCTTTATTTCTCCATGATGTTGAGACTTGATATTTAAAAAGCGGTTTGTGTATTATTTATTTAGGTTTCTTCCCCCAAGGAACCATTCTTCTTAAGGCTATATACTTCCGTGGGCAAACACAGAAAAGCCACTTCCGTAGAACCATTGTCAGCGAGACAGTCGCTGGCAGAACACAGATCGCCTGCACCTTAAGTTAATTTCCCCTCCTTGGCATTTTGACAGTAAAATTTGACTGAGTTGTTAGCCGCCGTGGGAGCTATCTGTTCGCAGAGGCGCAGAAAGCTGAGTTCCCCTCGAGACCCCACTCAAACGTTCTGACTCTGGAGTCCAGGAAACAAGCCCTGCTTTCATTCAGAGTCACATTTGCATAGGCCCACAAAGGCGGTTGGTGGGTGGAAATGGTCCGGATCCATTTCCGGGTCCGGCGCACATCACAGGACAGAAGAGGGGCTGACTCTTAATTGGCCAGGGGAGACCAGGATTCCTGAACGTGGGCCTGCAGCGAGCCCCTCCCCACCTTCCTCCCTCCCCAGGCCTCTGGGGACTTCCTTCCCCGGGAGAGCTTGGGAAACGGCGCTCTCCTGCAGGGACGTCCCCTTTGGGGTACATGTTGAATTCCTGCCTCATTTGCAGACTGTCCCTGAGGCCTTGGGCTTGAAGATTCCCACACCCAGTGGCTCCAAAACATTGGGCACCTTTTCGTTGTTTCCCCGCCAGCTTCTCAGTGTCGCCGAGCCTGCCTAGTGCGATCCCTTAAAGTTGTTGCCATCTCTGCTGGAAATGGCGACACTCCTTAAATACGGCATTTGAAAAGCATCCCACATTGGGATGCAGTGTCGTCGGGCCCAGCTGCGGGTCCTCTAACTCTCCACCGCGGCTGCCACAAACACGGGGTTTTCATTTCAGAACCCCCTTCCTAAGTCCTGCTGACCCCTCAGGGCAAATTTAAACATGTTCCTGGGCCGTGACTCAGCCCAGAAAGGATAATGAAGGCTCTGCTCAGATCACCCCCACAAGCTATGGGGAATGGATGTCCTTGTTGAAAAGGGAGATTAATTATCAACCTGTTGACAGGGTTGAGGTCTAAGCGTGTCCCCTTTAATCACAGAGGGCTGAAGCTGGGCAGGGAAAAGAAGACACTTTATTGCGGGTTTTCTTCTCATTTGCTTTATTTACTGTCCACAGGCAGGGGGACAGTGGAGTGTAAAACAGCCTGAGCCTTTCTGCAGTTCCTGGATTGCTTGACAGATATGATTACTTTCGAGCGTAAATCTTATTTACCCGGCCCTGTAACGAGCATCTTGCTGCTCAGAGCGTCCCGGGCGTTCATCGTAAAGCGCCCAGCCCTCTCCTCGTTATGTGCCTTCCCGCCAGGGTCACTTATGCTTGGTCTCCATTCCTGGTGCCTCAGTAACGAGTCCTTTATCCCAGAACTTCAGCCAGAATTGTCCCTGGGTACGCCCCCCGCTGCCCCGCATCAGTGATCTGTACATGACCATGGCAGGGCCCCCGTGACCACTGACTAGTAAGTGATTCCGGAACCATTCTGGGAAGCGTGAACCTCACCCCTCACTTGCCTATTTAAAATCCACAAATTACACATCACCAAGGAGAGCACTCCCCGTTCAGAAATTTCTTACACCAAGCCAGGTCTTTAGTTAGCAGGTAGCTTAGCTTGAAACAGTGAGTCCAGATCTGTAGAAATCTAAAACTGTAACACAGGGATGGGAGAAAGAGGGAAGGGAAGCCATCCAAAATGGTCCTGTACATGAGGACTGCACCACACATCACCCCTGGGTCCCCAGGCTCAGTCCCTGGGGAGGAAGGTGCATGTGACTGTAACGCTCCACCGTTGACCCGCCTTCAGCACCAGGGCCTGAGAGCAAGCGGTGACCTGGGAGGGTGCTCCCGGGTGACCTGGAGAGATTGGATGGGAACCATCGGAGCGGGAACCATCACGTCATCCCACACCTGGGAGTTATTCTTAGGAAGTCAGGGAGGAAACAGTGATGTGCACAGAGATGTTGATAGAAGCGTCAGTTATTAGAAGACAACGCTGGAAGCAGCTATATACATGCCCTGGACACACGAGTCCATCTCGGACGACGTGTCACCTCACGGCGTTAGCCTGACTAGGAGCACGGGTAGCTACAGAGAAAACGTGGGGCGGGGGCGGGGGGGGGCAACAGTCAATGAAAAACAAGGAACTCCACACTATACGTGGTAATTTGAAAATAACTGCCTGTTTTGCAGGCATCACAGAACAGGTGCTCAGCAGAAGTAGGTTGATGATGTCAGGCAGAGAAGTGGTGGGATGGGCAGGGGGACCGGCCTCCGCGGTGGCCCTTGGCCAATACCAGCATCGGCACCCCGCACCCTTCGTTGGGCACTTACTGGGCACAAGACAAAATCTCAGACACTTTAGACTCACCAGGGAGCCCTGTTTTACAAATTGGAAAACTGCGAACGAGAGAGGCGGGTCACTTGCCCATGGACACCCAGCTAGGAGGCGGCAGGGCCCGCGTTCTGGTCCAGAGCCACCTGGCTTTAAAGCCGTGAGCTGCCCCCGTGCTGCCGTGCCCCTCACTGTCCAGGTGGGGATTGCAAACGCAGTAGAAGAGGACAGAGAGGTGCCCAGGGGACGGCAAGCCCCCGTCACCGCCACCGTGCCGGCGGCAGGCCCCCGACAGAGCAGAGGGCCCGGGTGTGGATTCCTGGGCCTGGGGAGAGCCCTCTATGCCCGTGTTCTGCGTCCCCTTTCCCCCGGGTTCAGAGCCCAAAGGCATCAGCCTTCTCCACCCTCGCGCACCTTCTGAACGCAAGGCCATCTGTAACCTCACTTGATCGTAGTGAGATTGTCTAACACATAATTACAAGATTAATGGGTTAATTGTAACTTATTTGCAAATCCTTAAAAACATTACTCAAAAACATCTTCGCTGAAGATTGTTTGGGGTTGCCCAGAGCGAGGCAAGGGACAGAGGAGAAAATGAAAAACACACCCGACCGCCAACCTAATGAAAGACAGCCCGCGAGGTCATCGAGCTAAGCCTGCAGCCTGCCGCGTGCATGTGGGAGAGGCCCGCTCTGTTTCCCGGTGCTGGGTTGGGTGTGCAGGCGCCGCGGCGAGGTGCGGAATCACTCAGCCTAGGCGCCCCCTCCCCCTCTCTTCCGGCGCAGCCTCCGTTTGACGGCGAGGATGAAGACGAGCTGTTTCAGTCCATCATGGAGCACAACGTCTCGTACCCGAAGTCCTTGTCCAGGGAGGCTGTCTCCATCTGCAAAGGGGTAGGTAGGCTTGGGTTCCTTTGGTGGCCGTGGACGAGAGGGTCCATTGGGGAGATGCCATCCAGACGCTTCTAAGAGGCACGGTGGGGGGACCACATGCCCACGCCACTGTGTTTGCAGTTAACTCGTCACCCTTTTTTTTTTTTTTTTTTTTTTTTTTTTTTTTTTTTTTTC